AGTAGGGATGCTCCTTGGTGGAACCGTCATCTGTCAAACTTACGATCCGAAGCGCGGAAGTTCTCTAATAGGACCAAGCGCAGCAGAGATTGGCAGAGCTACACCAAGGCACTTACTACCTACAACAAAGAAATCAGGAAAGCTAAACGTAACAGCTTTAGAAAATTCTGCGAGGATATTAACTCTACACCTGCGGCAGCGAAACTGCACAGGGCCCTGGCAAAAGGCAGAGTTGACACAGCAATAAAGAAACCAAATGGAAGCTTCACGGAGACTGAGGAGGAACGAGCTCGCCTCTTACCAGAAACTCACTTTCCTGGAAGCACAACTTTTCTAATAAGGGACACAACTAAGGTTAGTAGACCCCCAAAAGAGGCTGCAGTAGTGACCAAACACATATGAACCAGAAATCGGTTAAAGTGGGCCGTAAACACTTTTAAACCGTTTAAGTCTCCAGGTGTGGATGGAATATTCCTTTCCTGCTTCGGCGGACATAGGAAGAATTACTTCCACACATAATCCGGCTATCCCGGAGCAGTCTGAAACTGGGATACATACCAGAAGTATGAAGAAGAGCCAGAGTCATTTTTATTCCAAAAGTAGGGAAAAAGGATACCACACATCCTAAATCCTTCCGACCAATCAGCCTCACATCCTTTATATTAAAAAGAATGAAAAATCTGTTGATAATTATATCAGAAGGGAAGTCCTGAAGAGGGTGCCACTCCAACACAGCCATCACGCTTACCGAGCAGGAAGATCTACAGAAAATGCCCTGGTACAGCTGACTGGCGTAATCCAGGATGCACTAACAAACAAAGAAATGGTCGTGTGTGCCTTCCTAGACATAGAAGGAGCATTTGACAACACGCCACACGAATCTGTCAAAAGAGCGCTTGCATACAGAAAAGTAAATAGCATCACATCCAGATGGATGACTTAGCTGCTATCTACGAGAACTGAAGATATACAGATAAGGCAGGACACCATCTCCATCTGCACAACTAGAGGATATCCACAAGGAGGCGTCCTATCCCCACTAATGTGGAGCCTAACCCTACACTAACTTCTATGCAGATTGACTGACCTCGGCATACCCTGTTAAGGTTATACCGACTACCTAGTCATATTTGCTAGAGGCAAGTTTAAAAATATCCTGTGATATAGTCCAACGAGGACTAGAACATACCAAAAGATGGTGCCGTAAAGTAAACAACACTAGTAGCCTTTTCAAGAAAAAAAAACTTAATCTCAAAATTAGACGGGATAGATATAGAATAGAAAAATGAAGTCAAATATCTAGGTCTAACCCTGGACAACAAACTTCTCTATTACATACATGAGAAGGAAGTAGTAAATAAGTCCACAAACGCTCTAATGGTGTGCAGAAACATTGCGAATAAACGATGGGGATGTAAGCCAAACACACTGCGATGGATGTTTACTGCAATAGTGAGACCAATCATCACTTACGGGGCTATAGCCAGGAGAGTTATTATCTCAAAAGTACAAAGACTAGCCTGTGTTTGCATTACGTGTGCAATTAGAACCTGCTCTACGGCCGAAATGGGGGTGATATTAAACCTCGCCCCTCTTCATTTAATGATAGAGAATGTGGCAAAAAAGGACACGATATGGAATAATCAGGAACGGAGTAATCAAACGAAAGTCTACTTGCTTCAGGACCAAAGATACCTGGGACATGCCCCAGGATGAAATGATAAAGAAGTACAATTTTGTGAAAAACTTCAAAACCACAGAGCTGGGCTGCAAGAAAGAATGCAGCCAAGAATCCATCGCGCTTGCAACTGAAAGACATGCTATTCAGTGGTATACGGATGGTTCCAAAACCATAGAAGGATTTGGAATAGGAGTGTATGGGCCTAAAATCAGGCACTTCGAAAGCTTGGGAAAATACCCAAGCATCTTCCAGGCGGAAATTCACGCCATCGAGAAGTGTATCTTGTTTAACATCGAGAGAAACTATCGTAGACAAGAGATTATCATCATGTCCGATATCCAAGCAGCCATCAAAGCGCTGAGCTCTTACGTAATCAGCTCAAAAATGGTCTGGAGATGCCTAGGAAAATTTAATGAGCTAGGCGAGAATAGAGTTACTCTTACTTGGGTCCTGGGACATAACAGGGTACAGGGTAACGAGATTGCAGATAGTCTTGCAAGGAAAGGGGCTCAAACATCCTTTGTGGGACCTGAGCCATTCTGTGGTATCAGCAGTAATATAATATTAGGAGAGATTAAAAAGAATTGGGCAGTAGAAGAACCGAAAATTGGAACAATTTCTTGGGGCTGAGACAGGCTAAGATACTTCTGGGTGAATATAACCAAAAAATATCGGAAGCCTGCATCTGCCTGAGCAAGAACAGGCTACGTATTTTAACAGGGCTTCTTAATGGGCATTGTCGACTAAAAGGGCATCTTAGTAAACTGAGAGTAGTAGAAGATAGTGAGTGCAGATTCTGTGAGGGACGAAACCTCCATTTACATTCTAATAAGATTCTAACTGAATTCGTAGCACTTCAGAATCTAAGGGCACTATACCTAGGAGCATATCAAATGGAAAAGGGAGATTTACCTAACTTAAAGCCACTCCAAATCCTACACGTCCTTGAGAAGATAGGACTGGAAGGGTCGTTATAGGCATTGAGACATTTCCTTGCTGCATTAGCGACTGGAGGGGCACAATAGATCTTTTAGGTCTCAGTGTATTAACACCCCATTCCCAACAAAACATAACATAACATGCAATATAAAATCTTCCACACAGTTTTTATTCCATGAAACTTATTTTGTTAATAAGTGGAATTACTGAAATGTTTGAATATTTAAAAAATATGCTTATAGCGTCTCCCTACCCTCCAACTCAGAGATAACAGGACATGTAACTAATAACATATATCGTGCTGTAGTGAATAATACATATTCTAAGGGATACAGGAGAGTATAACATCCGCTGTTGTCATATGCCTATTTCATTATTCTCGTTTTGTTAACAAAATTATTTACATATCTTAAAAAAGCTAAAATAATTTAACCAATTTTATTGCAACTGAACCCAAAAAATTTTAAATCATTAGTTATATCAAATTTAACTAAATTAGGTGTAATAATTTTCAATAAATTCCAAAACCTAGTTAATGTTAAATTGGAAGTGGCAATAGGGCTTACAGCCGCTTGAATTTTTAGGTTGTTTATTATAAGAGCACTTGTCTTACACATTTATTTATTAATTTAAAAAATTGTATAGTCGTAAAAGCCTTCTCTTTATCCCCTCTCTTACATCTCACTACATCTTGACATCTTGACAGCATGAATATTATATTTTATCAATGTTATTAGGTATAATTCCGTATAATTCTTTTGTTTATCTATTTTTCCTTCTCCATTATATCCTAAATAAAAGCAGAATTTATCTTAATTTTGTTTTCCAGCTTTCAAAACATATCATTGTTTAATGTTGAACTTATTGTTTGCCTGTATTTGTTGCATAATTAATTTAAAAGCAAATCTGTAAAGTATTTTTAATACATTATCCCAAATTAATTAATAATTATTGTAATTTGGAATAAATATTACGAAAATGAGAAGCTCTAATAAACAACTTTCTACATGAGGAGTCACATTCGTAAAATTATCTAAATAAAATTTGGTATTCTTTATGTAACTAAAAAAACGTGTTAAATTTTTACGAAATCGATTACTTTATTAAATAAAATTGAAATATTTGTATCTTTAGTTTGGCGAAACTTCAAATTACCTGTATATACTTTCTCAGGGTACGAATTTCTTTACACATACATACTTTTGCATATTAATTTAATTCCAGACGGACGTTGTGATACTCTCTAGGCCAAATATAAAATTTTCTCTACATAAATTTATTTTATACATTTCTCACAACAGATAATTGTGATGATATAACCTCGCTTTCAATAGATGAGATTTTATAAAGTTTACCACACATTCTAACACCTGATTCAGTGCAGGACTTGTATGCCTAGACGCAAACGTTTATCTAGGAATAGAAATTTAACGAAAATCATTACATGATTTTTCCATGCCGTTTTGTAGCTTGTATTTCATGAAATCAAATTATCGATTTTATAAAAACTCCAACATAGGTATATAGTCTAAAAATAAAACTATAAACAGCACTGAATATTAATAAAATATTAGATTTTTAAAAAAAAACTAATGTACGAACCGAAGCAGCTCGATTTTCATTCCGTGACGTCACACCTTTCCTTAGAAATAAACGAAAGAGGCAACCGCGTTGTCTACGAACCGTGGTCTTAGCCTACTATGTAAAAATGCCTGAAATACTCATGGCATACCATGTGAAGATATTCATTCTTTCGATATTATAATAGGATTACAATATAGAGAACTGTAAAAAAAATAGATATTCTCACTTCTAATTTCTAATAGAAGCTGTAGTGGCATAAAATTTATATGTATACCTACCATATGTTGGTTGAGTGAAAATAATAAATCCAAAAGTAGGGCCATCTGCTGTTTTTCTCTAGATATCCAATGTCAGTCGAGGTATATAGCCATAGGAATAGTTGTTTCCAAGAAGGAAGCGTTCGCTCCACTGTTTTCTGTGACCTACTGAGTTTTTATTCTTTATTTACATCTTGGTCACATTATATTAATTTGGAATTATTTTCTTTGATAATGTTTATTATGACACGCACTTTTTCAAAAACATCTTTTTTAATCTTGGTTACATTATATGTATTTGGAATTATTTCCTTTGGTAATAATATGACACGCGCTTTTACAAAAACACCTTTCTAGCTGGATTCCACTTGCGTTATCAAAGCTTCTATTTTTTGTTTTTCATCAAACTATATTACAAAATTAATATAGTGACAATGACTTGTGTCCAAAACATTCAAACGCTCTTAATATTATACTAACCACTTAATAAAACACTCAAAGAAATATATATGTATATTACGTATTGAAATAAATACAACCACAATAATAATTGTTGCTACTGGTCTTGGACTTATGTATGAAAACAAATTTCTTCTTCAGAAATAACTTTAAATGATCTCCAAATAAGTTATAATTTCAGTACAGATATAAATGTAAAAGTTTTCATCGTGTACTTATATAGTTTTCATATTTACATCAAGTCTGAATTCATTTTAGGTAGCCTAAAATTAAATAATTATTTTTTAAGAAAATCTTACAAATAATATTAGAACTAAAAGTATTAAATGTATTAAAATTATTCAATATTCAAATAGAATAATAACGTATTGTAATAAACCAAACAATTAGATTGTAAATGGCTTTCATTGAAAGAATTATTCAAGGGTAATACATGTTAACATTCTTCAAAATAATATTGAAACTGTCGCGTAAATTTTGATTTAAATAGATAGTCGATAGTCTAGAGGAGGAGACTTGAGTAAGGGCTGCTGCTCGAATCTCTTGCCGAAAGGCATGCTCTAGTAGAGACGTTTCCTTCCTTCGGGACCCTATGTCCCGAAACACCTTAGTTTGTTTTGTGCAGTGATTTGTGATCTTTATTTATTTATTTATTTATTTATTCGTTTATTTTAACATATTGTTTAAATGTGGTGTTTGGTTTTGCCATTTTTCATGAGACGCAAGTGGTTGCTTTTAGAATGCATCTCTACTTACGTTTTTCCTTATACAGTCAATCTAAATATTTATAATATTTAGTAAGTACTATAAAAATTATATGAAACCAATTCTGCAAATAAGATTATTTGTGTATCAAGACCATAAAATTCATCTTTTTCGGATGAATAAGAAATATGTTGTAACTTTTGTTGAGGCCGAGGGTGTACACAACCAAACTTATATGGAATCACTCTGTATTTCTAATAGTCTAAGATCCGAAGTAAGGTCGACCTTCACCCATCTGTTTAATGGATGAAAGTTTCTTTTTATTAAATAAAATATATTTATAAATATACCGCAAAAGGGTTGCCTAAGAAAATATGGTCGACTATTTATTTTCTTACATTAAAAAAAAGGACACCACCCTGTATTCCCCAGATGCTTCGACTATGCCCAAAGTTTAATCAGATCACCACAGGATAGATTAAAGCTTAAGTTTAAAATTTGGTGTTTTTCTCTTTATCCGTTTTTGAGTTGTCTTCAAAATTCGAAATTTGCACTTTTCCTCAAATATCTCGAATTAGGTCCATTTTAGGGAAATCATGTATAGAAACAAAATAATAGAGAATGACATCATAAGCAACTTTTATCATGATTTCTATTCTTTCCAGAAAGGAAAGCAAAAAATGGCCGTGACATTTTATCTAATAAAAAAAAAAACTTTTATCCAATAAACAGATAGGTGAAGGTCGACCTTACTTACGGATCCTGGACTATAAATAAACTTTTTGTAAGGAAAACGATTGGTATGTAACTTTAAGATAAGGGTTTTTGTTCTAAATAAACATGATAATAAAGAAGAAACGACTACTGCGATTTATTATCTTGTGAATTTTGTGTTCAGTAGTAAAATTACGATTCTCCAGTAATTTTATTTTGGTCCAAAAAAAAAAACAAATAAAATGCCTTATGTTGGATTAATAGATGTGCTGAGGGGAAGAATGATTGCTCTCATTGAACAAGGAATAACCCAAAGAAACGTAGCGGAGGTAGTAGGTGTTACCCAATGTGTTGTATCGAAAACATATGCAAGGTACTTGGAACTAGGAACTCTCAAGAACACACCCAGACAGTCGTCAGAGTTTCTCATCCAGAACTGCAACGACAACTTCTGGAAGCTACAGGTGCGAACGTTTTAGTTGAAATCATAAGAAAAATACTTCGTGCTCGAGGGTTGTGGGTACGTAGAAGAGAGTTACGGATCCCACAGTTATCTAAACAAAATAAAAATGACCGGCTAAATTGGTGCCTCCAACACCAAAACTAGACAATTTAGAATTGGCAAAAATGTTCTTTTTCGAATGAGACCAGAATTGGCCTAAGATCAGATGACCATCGAATTCGGGTTATCAGAGCTCCAGGAAGACGAGCGAGACTCCAGTCTGCCAGATCTGTCCCAAGATATCAAGGAGGGACTATATTGTTTTGGGGAGGTATTATGCTGTGAGAAAAAACTCCGTTGTTACTACTTTAACAAACTTAAATCGGTCGGAGGTATCTTGATTTAGTGCTAGTAACAATCGTTAGGCTTTGAAGAGCTGCAATTGGAGATAATTTTATCAAACACTTGTGAGACCAGCTCAACAAAAGGTTTAGAGCCATGGGTGCCACTAGAACTTTTTCCAGGGGGGGCAAGAATGCAAAATTTTGAATTGTTTAAAACAAATTACAGAAATGTAAATATTTATAGACGATAGGAAATATAATGAGCTTAGGCGAGGTCGTCAAATTCTGCCGAATTTACCGTTTTAATAGATTAGATACTCTAAAAATTATACCGAAGGTTCAGAGCGAAAACCCGATAGGTAATAAAATTTAGTTATGAAGATTCCATACAGGAGTACAGCCCACATTATTTCAGAAGTGTTTCAGAAATATTTTAAACGTTCCAAACATATAACATTTCATTCAGAAGTTTCTGAAATATTTTAGTTAAATATTTCACTGAAAATGTTTCTGAAACTTGGTATACATGTTACACAAAAGCTTACTAAACGGATTATATTGTAAAAGGCCAAGACTTAATGAAGAATTTCTGATTTGTAAGAAGAAGATGGGATATGTAGTTATTTTATTTCATCCATGGAGGATTTCATCCTATATCCAGCCGGAGACAATCCCATATTCTAAATAATTATAGATTTGAGTGGTCGGTGTTTGCCATTTCCTTTTATTTTTTATTTATGCATTGTGCTGTTGTTATATGGGAAGCAGAATATATCTTTAGAAATTGAGGTGAGTACTACATACATAATGCTTGTTTAGGTTAGCTTTATTTACTTTATCTCATTTTTGAAACGAGTGATGCCATTTATTTTATTAAATTTATAGCCAGTTTTAGTCAAATTTTTATTTAAATATAGCCTACATTTGCTGTCCCTTCGTCAGTTTTATTTATTAGTTCTACACAGGGCCGCCGAGAGCCAGGTCGGACCCCGGGAAAATTTTTCAGGTCGGACCCCGTGACAATTTTATAAAAAAATTAGGCCATTTCAATATCACATTTCTTTAAAAAAAGGTCTTTTAGCTCTTGCTCTTCAGTGAATTCTCTAAAAAAAAGTCCTTCCCACATAACATCAATGTTCTATGAATATACTAAGAACGTTCTGTTTATGTTCTTTTTAGTATGTTCATAGAACATACCTAGTATATACTTTATAAGTATATTCTAGAAAGTATATGCTGAGCACGTGCCTTAAAAGTATATTCCAAAAAGTATATACTGAGCACGTGCTATAACAGGACATTCTAAGAAGATACTAAAAGTCATATACCCAGCATGTACCTCATATTCTGATAATGTTCTAACTGCTTGCAGGTAAAAATTAACACCAAATACATGTAAAAAAACGTTTATATACATATCTATATGAATTTTTCCCAGATACCGATCTATTAATTGGTTAGCAAACGCACTAATGTTTAGGCCAAAAACAACCTTAATAAAAGATAAGAAGAAGAAGAAGAATAACATAACCTACAATTCCTACAAATTTCTTTGATCTCGTTTCAGTAAGTAAATTAGTAAAAATTAGTTGCATCGTGTGTTCTATATAAAAATAAACAAATTTTACTATATTTGTAGTTTTTAGGACCTATAAGTGATGTTAGAACACAGGATATTTCAAATATTAATTGCCAGTGTGAATTTATTAATATGGTTAATACTAATGGTGGATTAAAACTAAAAGTTAGTGTTACCAGAATTACATACACACTTTCTATAAAAAAAATCCTGTAAGGCCAGAAATTGACCTGGAAGAACTAGAAAATAAGCTAAAGGAGGAGGAAAACTACAAAATGGTGGTAAGTAATTAACAAAAATATATTTAAACTTTCACTAAACATAATAATAATGTATAAATGATTAATTTATGTAACTCTTGTTTTTGTTAGTGAAATGCCATGTACAATTTTTAATGTTTCACGTTCGACAAAAATATTTAAAATATTCCATTAGCTATGTACAGTTAATTTGTATATGTACCAAGTTTGTTGATTTTTTTTATTTTTTAGGTTCAATGAAGATCCAATGGAATCAAGCAAATGAAACTCAAGCCATTGATACAATGAAATATTGGTTCTTTAAGGCCAAAGGAAGAATTTATATTAAAAATAATAAGTATGATTTTTTTGAAATAAAGATTTCATTATATACACTTATTCTTTATTGTTCAACATTAATGAAACATCCTGTATTAGGGTGTCTAGTATATGCCTAGTATATGCCTAGCATATGCTATATTTAAATACTAAGCATATACTTAGAACGTACTATTAAATTAAAGTAGATACCCATTGCATACTGTACACATACTCGAGTACATTCTCAGCATCTGCATAGCACGTATAAACAACGTCACGTAGCATATTCTTGGTATATTCTGAGAATGTTCCAAATGCAAATAAAGTATATTCTCAGCACATGCACATTCTTAAAAAGCATATACTGAGAATATGCTAAGAATGTATAATTGTTATCTGGGTTAAGCAAAAAAGATCCTCCCTCTTGTGGCGAACTTCTAAAAATATAAAAAATGTCCTCACCTAAAGCTGCTGGGCCCCCCTTATGCTACTGCCGGGCCCCCACTTGAGCCCGGGCCCCGGAAATTAGTCCCGGCTACCCCCCTCTCGTCGGCCATGATTCTACAGCTGATCGAAAAGCGGAACTTCATGTTTTGTTTAGGCATGAGTATTGTTTGCTTCATTATAGTTAATTTAGAACAATATTAATAAAACTATTGTTAATCAAATTATATAAATCCTTTTTAATTACCTATGAGTAACTTGTTTCAGATTAGTGCATTTAAAGCTTTGGAGCTGTGCCAGTAAAAGTAACATCTAAGTTATTTAACGTTTTTTGCAGAATAAAGGAACATCGTCGATGCACCCAAGTACTGCCGCAAGACTGATTTTCATAGGGACCTTAAAGCTGTTGAAAATACAATACAAAAATTTGCCAGTAGTTACAAACAAGGACTACTCCAATATGGAAACCTTGAGATTATCCAGCTCCTCAACAATAACAATCTAATATGAATGCTCAAGAGAACCAAGCCTTTTGAGTTAATTCAGAGATGTTAGATTAAAGAAGAGTATAGTGCGGTTAAGTATTTTACGTTAACGGTAGTGTAACTAAATAATAGAGAGTTTTAGCAAATGTACGTAAGATTTCCGCTAACGTTACGTTAAACTTATATTGTGACCTTTTTCATAAACATTGAACGGAGTAGATTACAGTCTATCCCTAAGGTAACGTTAGCGGATGGTTAGCGGCTGTTTGCTAAAACTCCCTATTTAGACTCTGAGGTACACTAGTGAGTAGAATCTTAGTTTATGAAGTTTTTCATCCCTATATAAGTTAGGTTAGATTAAAATTGCTAATTGATCTTAATAATCAGATTGTAATAATGTTTCTTTACGTGGGGCATTTATTTAAAAAACAAAACGTATTTGTTTTAGATTGGTACATTTAAAGGAATTGGTGGGAATAAAGCCATTCGCCTTATTTATAAGTATGAAATAATGTTTAAAAATTATTTATTTGTTTGTTTGTTTGTTTGTTTAAGAGTTTTGTGTATTTAAAATAAACTTGTATATTTTTAAATGCCTTTTTTTAGTTTAATAATATTTAAAAAAAAACTAGAATACATTTCTGAAATATTAATATTTAATATTTATAAAAGATTTCAAATTTTTATTTTAGAAATATTACTTGTAATGTATGAGATTATATGGATAACAAGGCACTACAATCACAACTAGTTCACTGAGAACTTTTTTAATTATAATTATTACAATAAGTAAAATGGACGCGAAGTGGATGTGTCAACTACTCTAGCAAGACTGACTTTGCAGCGTTGCCACGTTGTAAGAATAATACATCACATTACTGTAAAATAATTTATATACAGGACATTTTTACGTTTTAGGCACATTTCAGAAATGTTTCTGGGATTTTTCGTAATATTTATACAACATTACAAATGTTTCGATGTAACATTTTTGTATGGGATATTGCCGTTTAAGTATTTTTTTGTTTTTTTAATTACAAATCAATGCTTTTGATTGTTTGCCGGCATCAGTTTATAGTTCATATTACTTATAACGATTAAACGGATTGCTTTATTTATTTTTTCTAAATTGACGTTTGCTATAGATGTACTGAAATAAAGACAATATGATATCAAATTATCAAATTTTCGCTCTAGTGATTAATAAATAGTTTCGAAAAAAAGAATGATCTTTACTCATATATCGATTTTTCGGAATACCAGTTAACAATACTTAGATACGAAATTTCACAAAACGGAGCACTAAAAACTGTTTGATGATACCTAAGTATATAAAAGTCGTTTTTCTATTTTTTCCGACTTATCTAGTATTGGCAGCGAACACTCGACCAGAGCCGGCCCCAGGGTAGAGCGATCCGGGCGGCCGCCCGGAGCGCAATGATCTAGGGGCGCCAAAATCATGGAAAATGAAAATAAACTGATAAAAAAATTAAGTTACAGGCTTTTATAAAATGCACTAAAAATTAAAGAATATTTTTTTATCATTCTGATATCATATCAATAAATTATTTTTCATAATATTGCATTGTCATCGGACCCTTGTAAGTATACCAAATTTCATTGAAATCGGTTCACGGGAATTTTATCAAAAACGCGTTGCAAGATTTAACTTTTTTTTGTTTACACCCTTCAGACCTCCCGTGCTACACCCTAATCCGTCTGTAGTCTGGCAGCACTGCAGCCTGCGGCTTATTGTACCACCCAGGATTTGACTGATAGTTGACAAGATTAAGAGGCGGCAGGCGGAATTTATCATTTTTATTTCTAAGCACATAATTCAAATAATACAATATATTTAAACATTAAGGCAAAATCTAGTTGAATTCAATTCAACATGACAAAACCACTCAACCACCGCCTTTCAAGAATTGACAAGTTTTTCGGCCCGTGGCAACACGACTGTACAGGAAACAACAATTTTGAAACCAAGCGAAACAAGATCTAACAGCCCTTTTTAACTGCATATAAAAAGGAAGTAGACTTAAAACAATGCATTATTTGCCACTAGACTTCGGCTGGTGCGAAATAAAATAGTTTGTTCAAATTGTTAGTGCGAAGAAGCTTTAAAACAGTGCTTGTGCAAATTGTCCAGTGCGTTTGGCTTCTGTGAAGGTAAGTGTTTTAATTTTTGTTTTCATTTTTAAAAACTAAAAAAAATCCATCAGACATAAGCCCAAAAAAGGGTGGGGGTAGATTTCAAAAATTTGTTTAGATCAAAAAATGGCTTGTGTGGTATCAAATGAAAGTTGATTGAACCTGCAGTTGAATAAAATTTATTTTTTTAAGCCAGTGGTGTATAAGGGGGGGTATTTCAAAAATTAGAGTTTACATTAAAAAATGGCTTGTGTGGTATCAAATAAAAGTTGATTGAACCTGCAGTTGAATAAAATTTATTATATTTTTTTAAGCCAGTGGCGCACAAGGGGGGATTTCAAAAAATTAGAGTTTACATCAAAAAACGGCTTGTGTGGTATCAAATGAAAGGTAATTGAGTCTGGAGTTGAATAAAATGCAATTTTTTTTAAACCAGTGGCGCACAAGGGGGGATTTCAAAAATTAGAGTTTACATCAAAAAATGGCTTGTGTAGTATCAAATGAAAGGTAATTGAGCCTGGAGTTGAATAAAATGCATTTTATTTTTTAAAGCTAGTGTCGCACGAGGGGGGGATTTCAAAAATTAGAGTTTATATCAAAAAATGGCTTGTGTGGTATCAAATAAAAGATAATTGAGTCTGGAGTTGAATAAAATACATTTTTTTAAGTCTGTGACGCAAAAGGAGGGGCATTTCGAAAATTAGAATTTAAATCAAATCATTGCTTGTGTGGTATCGAATGAAAGGTAATTGAGTCTGATGTTGAATAAAATACATTTGTTTAAGCCAGTGGCGCACAAGGGGGATTTCAGAAATTATAATTTAAATCAAATCATGGCTTTTTTGATATCAGTATTATCTTTTACTTTAATTAAATTGTTCCAAAAACCAAAATGTCCGATGCTAAGAGAAAACCATCTGGGAGCGAATTTAAAAAGCGGAGATTGAACAAGCGAACACAGCTTCAAAAACAGTCAGATGCGGTGCAGAACTTCTTGAAAGAAGGTAGTTTTAACGATCGCACAACCGACCAACATTTAAACAACGCCCAGCACCTAGATACTGACTTTCCGGATATGGACGCAACCGTCAGCATTACTGAGCTGGGTAAGTCATCTCAAACAAGTTTGGCGAGTAGTGATGCAGTTCCGTGCAGTTCCAAAAATCAAAATTCGGAAGATGTGCAGACCTCAGACAAACATTTAGAAAAGGCTACCGTCCAAAGTATCTTTTCTTCCCAGGATTATGGCCCGAAATCATGCGTGCAGCAGATAGAGTTTTTTTGGTTAAACGTGGTCCAGCTGTACCTTTGTATAATTTTGGTTTTTCTTTTGATGATCAGCATAGAAGATTCTCACCAAAACATTAGAAAAAAAGGCTTAGAAATGGAGAAGAGGTTTTAAGAGAATGGATGGTATATTCCGTATTTCAAAACGCTTTGTACTGTTTTCCATGTCAACTTTTTGCTGCACCATCTATATTAAGCGCTCTTGGCAATCGGGGATTTAAAGATTGGAAGCATTTATAGGACTCTTTAGCACATCATGAAAATGCTAAAACTCATATAGATTGTTTGAAATCATAGCTTGAATTGAAGCAAAGATTGAAAATAGGTGAAACAATAGATGCAGTTTCTCAGAGACTCATTGATTCTGAGATAAATCACTGGTCTGAAGTTCTTTTATGCATTATATCAGTCATTAAAATGCTAGGTGAGAGTTCTCTAGCTTTTCAAGGAACAAGCGATTAACTGTATGAACACAATAATGGACACTTTTTGAAGTTAATTCAGTTATTGGCTGAGTTTGATCCAAAAATGGAGGAACACATTCGTAGAGTCCTCAATAAAGAAAAAATCGAAGCTACATATCTAGAAAAAACTATACAAAATGAACTAATGGAATTTTTGCATGACAACAGAAAGCACGACATCATTGCGCAGGTTCAAAAGGCCAAGTATTATTCCGTGATTCTTGACAGTACTCTCGATGCAAGTAAAGCAGAACAGATGACATTTGTGGTAAGATTTGTATACATACAGGATTCAGAGTCTGAAGTTCAAGTTATTATCAATGAACATATTTTGGGTTTTCTACCCATTGAGAGATCCATAGCTAAAGAATTGTCGGAGGTTTTACTAGAAGAGCTAGAGAAAAATAGGCTTAAAGTAGAAAATATGACAATGGTTTCAATATGAGAGGAGAAAAATCGGGAGTACAAACAAGAATCAGAAATATAAACCCCAGAACATTTTATGTTCCTTGCAGCAGCCATTCGCTAAATTTGGTTGTAAACGATATGGCAAAATCCTCGTTTGAGGCAGCCAACTTCTTCAATATTATTCAAAAGTTATATACATTTTTTTCTTCCTCTTCTTTTCGTTGGGCAATATTACTGAAATATATTGGTACTTACACCCTAAAACCATTGAGTGATACGCGATGGGAAAGTCGAGTCGACTCATTAAAAGCTCTGCGGTTTCAAATTGGTCCAATTCACGATGCATTGTACAGCATACATGAAGATTCAGAAATCGATAATATGATTAGAGACGAGGCTAGCAAATTATTAAATAATTTGAAGCAGTTCAAATTTATATGCTCTGTTGTGATCTGGTACAAAATTTTGAGTCATATTAACCCCATCAGCAAACTTTTGCATACGGTAAATTTTAATATGTCACAAGCTATTGATATCCTTAGCAACTGCAAACTCTTCTTTGAAAACTTCAAATCAGATGAAGCTTTTGAAAGCATCATTTTACAAGCAACCGAGCTTGCTTCAGAGATTGACGTGGAAGCTAATTTCGAAACCACCACACCACGTCATCGTGTCAGAAGCAAAAGAAGAACGTTTTTGTATGAGGGCCCGGATGAACCCGTTCAAGACGTCAAACAAAAATATAAAATAGATTTTTTTTTACACTATAGATCAAGCAATAAATGTCTTGGAAACCAGATATAATTTGCTAAATACTCACAGTAATTATTTCAGCTTTTTGTATAATATTTTTGGTCTAAAAGACATTCCCAGAAATGAGCTACTGGCTCATTGCAAAGATTTGGAAGTAGTTTTAACTGATGAAAATTCAAGCGATCTTAACGCCCTGGAACTAGCCGATGAAATAAGCATTGTTTCGTCATTATTAACAAAAAAGGAAACCCCTGTTGAAGTTCTCAATTTTATCGCTACACTTAAATTTGCACCAAACCTCAGCATAGCATTAAGAATCCTACTTACATTGCCAGTCACTGTGGCTTCAGGAGAAAGAAGCTTTTCAAAACTAAAAATAATAAAAAATTATCTCAGAACGATGCAGACGCAAAATCGTCTCAATGGATTGGCAATGATAGCTATAGAACACCAAATTAGTGACAAATTAGTGACAAATTAGACTGGTTCGTGAGTTTGCCGAAAGAAAAGTTATAAAAAGGGCATTTTAATTACTTTGGTTAGTTAGAATTTATTTATAATATGAGATATTAGTTTAGTTAGCATTACTACATTTTAATTTTTGTTATTTTGCCTTAAGTGCTAAATTGCTTATCTTGTTATCTGATGATTGAGTTTTTAATAAAACGTTTTTTTTATTTTTTCTTTTTCAATGTTTTCTTGACTTTCTGATATGGTCGCATGAGATTTACTTAAAAAAAACGGGAAGGGGCGCAAAATTAAGGTTTTGCCCGGAGCGCCAAAATGTATTATCAGTTAAGCTAATGCCCCAATAATTGTTTGACAGAAGTTGCTATTGTATAATTTTTTTTTGGAACTTGGTAATTTCCAGGGGTCAACAGTCTCCTTTGCCCCCCCCCCCCTGCCGACGCCCATGATTAGAGCTCGTCAAAACATTGCTAGAAATGTCGCACAGCTTATTGATGCAGCATTAGCAGAATGGGAAAACATACTCCCAAGACAATGTTGAGAATTTAATAAGAAGCATGTCAGGACGAATAGAAGATTGTGAAAAGGCTAAAGGTGGCAACACGGATTATTAAATATTCTTTTTGTTTTTGCTTTTTGGCCAATAAAATGTTAAATCTCATTTCGATTCAGAAACCAAAAAATACCGTTGTGGTTATTTTGTCAACTAATAATTTTTTTTTTATTATTGCTATGTGAGTTATTTTTCATTACAACTCTTTCGTAAGGACCAAGTTTTATTCATAAACAAAACATGTTCATACATCTCAAAAATTATGAAAAATAATAGATGATTCTGTATAAGTTTGGTTGTGTTTATTTTAGGCGACTGTCTCATCAAGTAGTACAACATTTTTTTGTTGCATTCTTGTTCCTGAAAAGTTACTTAAATGCAAGAATGCTCCAAATTTTCATTGATCGAATAAAAAAAACCTATCATTAAGTAATAATTAGTAACGATATAAATGATAAATTTGCGTTTATAAAGAGTAAATACGAAATAAGTAATTTTTAAAACAATTTTATTGATGAAAATAAAAAGATGGTCCTTACTCAACAAAAGCTAAACAAAATCTACCTAATAAAACTAGGAAATTAATACAAATGATTAAAAGCAGAAGCTAATCATTTAAATAAAATATGATAACAAATTGTTTTAAATGACAGCTGTATGCGCTCACATAACTTGCGGCCGTAAAGTAAATGCGGCAAATAAAAGGTATTAATAAACCCGTAAAATGTAATTTTACAGTCATCTAAAATTAATAGAATAATTGACTTACCTGTAGGAGGATTAATCATAACTGTTCGATCACCTTTTCTGAAATATTTTTTAGCCAAAAATTAATCAACAATAATTATATACATAAACGCAATATACTGTGTGGAACAGCCAAATGGAATAAATTCGATAATAAATAAATTAGGGCGTGTTTGGCAAAACTCTCGAATTGGTATTTATAGTTATGCCATTTTCTTAACAAAACCTTTTTATACAGGGTGTGTCATGTGACAGTGACCAATACCAACTTTCTTATTTTAAATGCAACACGCTGTATATTTTTCAATTTTTGGATTCTTCAGAAAATTCTAGACATATTTTATGTACTATGTCCTATACCTAACTGTTCCAAAAATATTAAATGTTTTCCGATTTATTGCAAAAATTTACATTATTAAAATAAAATAATTTAAATAATTTAATTTTTTGAAAAAATTACTTTTTGAGATATCTTTGTCCGAAAATTATAAAAGGGTTCTGTAATCACCTTAAGTACTTTTTTTTAAAGTAATTTGGAATTGTAATTGCAGCTAAATCTGTGGAGGAATTGTACTTTGTAATTATATTATTTAATTTGTCTAAATACAATTATTTTTAATGCAACTTATCACTAAACAATTAGGGCTTGTTGTATAAAGCTTACTTAAAGTTAAGTTCAGTTTTAGGTGATACATGTCAATGTTCGATGCTATAGGTACAGTGCTAAAAAGTAAGATATCTTTAACTTTAAGGAATCCTTACGAAAGTCACTGCAAACAGCTGTTATAGACCGTCAGATAGTGACAGATTTAGGTGCCCCATTTTTGCATACAAGCCTTGAAGAGGGATGAAAAGTATATCGATTTTGAGTAGAATAAAATTTAAATTTTAAATAAAACTAATATTTGATATTACATTAATTGCTCCTGGAGATGACAAATGGAAAAATCAAATTAAAGGTTATTTGTTGACCATATTTTTACACAAGCCTTGTTCACTAATTGATTAATTAATAGAACTAGGCTTCGGAAAATCAAAGGCATTAATGTTGCAGGTAGCTAAAGGATTGAAATAACGGCGTAGTCTTATAAGGAAAAGTCGAGATTTTTCCACACAATCCCATTGAATGTATACCAGCGGGCTTGAAGGGGTAGCGAGAACCATGAGCAACCTACAAGGGGCCTTAAATCGGGCCAGTAGCCCATGTAATACCGGTACCCATCCAGGCGCTATGGGGTGACATCCTAAAACGCTATGGTTCTTCACATTGTCACGGGCAACAATGATCAGCAAGCTTCCCACAGTTCACCCCGCTCGGTTGGAAGTGATGGGCAAGATGGGAAAGCAGTTGGACAGATGCCCTTACACGACCCAGGCAATGAATCTGGACGCCTCGATTGGAAAGACGAACTTAGGGACGACCTGCTGGACGCATACGTAGAAAGCGAACCAGCTAGAAAAGCCTACATGGAAAGGATGCACGATCTTTGGTCTGCAAAGCATCCAGAACTAAATAATCTCACCCAACAACGTCTTAGGGATTATGTAGCCTATCTCAGATGATCAGGGTAGTATGTCAGGACTGCACTAGAACAGGAGTTACCTCAACGAAACCTTTCCGGTATAAATAAGGTTACTGCTACTAATACACTTGCTGTACTGGTTCTTCTTAAGTGGAGGCGTGACGAGTTGCGCGAACTGGACGTGAGCACACGAAAGATGATGTATGTCAATCGCAGCATTCATCCACGCTCGTCGGTTTCCCGAATTTACCTCCCACGTGATCAGGGTGGAAGAGGCCTTCTAAACTTGGAGTGTCTGCATGACAGGCTGGTTCTAAGAATGGCCTGCAATAGTACGGATCCACTATTAAAACCCATAAAAGATCACGAAGCAGCTAATGTCGGAGCATTTCTTTTTAGGGCAGCAAGACAGGCGGCAGATAGATTAAATCTAGTATTGACGTTAGATACTGATAACGAACAGTCGCTTACTAGGCTGGAACCTGAGGTTCTAAAGTTTCGTATTAAGAGAGCAGAAGAACTAGGGCTCTTTGAAGACCATCTCAATAAGCCGCAACACGAAGTGTTCTACAGAAACGTCCAAAATCTAAGGCTATCCAGAAGACTGACTTTCACCTTTCTAAAGTCTGCTGGTCTAAAATCTGAGACTAAAGGCTTTCTGATTGCTTGCCAGGATTGAGTAATCAATACCCTGGTATACCGTAGTCAATTTTCTGAAGTTACCGACGTCAGATGTAGAACCTGTCGCCAGCATCCCGAAACACTTATGCACTTATTGTTAGCTTGTCCTCTGAATGCTGTTTCAAGCTATATTTACCGGCACAATGAGGCTCTTCCCCCAAAAGCTGAGCTTGTCCGGGGAGAGGGACGGTTATTATGATTATTATTTACCGTGGCGCTCCGGGGCGACTTTAAGATAATTGATGGTGCCATTTGACTTACAGGTGAGGAAAACCCAGAAAATTCCACCCACCATCATCGAAAACGGTAACGCATGGCGATTTTTTATAATCTAGAAGTCATAGCAAGAGAAATTAAATTTCTGCTAATACGGCATCCATCAAATACTACAGAGCCACTCGTAAATTTTCTTTCATTCTACTCAAGATCGATGTACTTTTCAATCTTCTTCGAGGCTTGTATGCCAAAATGGGGCACCTAAATCGGTCACTGTCTGACGGTCTATTAGTTGATCACTTTGAATTACCCATTTAAAAATGTTATTCGTACTGGTCTGGTTGGTTCATGATTCTTTAGTTCTTTCATAATTTTTTTGTTGTTTTATTCGCAAAGTAATTAGATAAGTAAATATAAAAGTAATTGATAATTCCTTTTTTTTATGTAATTCTAATTAAATCAGTATAATTCCTATTTTTACAACATGTACTTTGTACTTGTAATTAATTCCTTTTTTGAAAAAGTAGTTTGTAATTGTAATAATTTTTAAAGTACATTTAATTACCCAACTCTGTTTAAGTATACCTTTATGTATTACCTATTAGTAAAAAGGAACGCTGAAATGGTTTTTGCTTACTTTCTTATTATGAAGATCTAAATGGGAAATGTGTTGTAGCGAATTCCTGTAATCAAACAATTTTATTTTGTTAATGTTAATTTTTGCAATAAATCGGAAAACATTTAATATTTCCGAAACAGTTGGGTGTAGTACATACCTAGTACATAAAATATGTCTAGAATTTTCTGAAGAATCCAACAAATTGAAAAATACACAGGGTGTTACATTTAAAATAAGAAAGTTGGTATTGGCCACTGTTACATAATACACCCTGTATAAAAAGTTTTTGTATTTGGCAGTTCCACACGGTATCTTAGATCTTTTATCATTTTCAGATTGTCAAATAAAGAAGTGTGATATTTAAACAATGATCAGGTAATAAAATAAAACACTATGTAGGTCCCTTTTTTATGCTGTTCAGATTTTGATACTGAATAGAAAACAGTAAAGATTTAAAAGCATGCATAGCAAATAAGTTAATTATTCCATTTACATACTGCGACACAGTATTTGATTTTAATTTGTCGTTTAGTCATAATAACTATTGTTCAATAACTCTACATTGGTGTATTATTTATCTAAATATTCGATTTCTTTATAAATTGGAGTATTTCACTTAACCTGGTATGTTTACAGAATTTGTATTACCGATATAAATTAAATATAAATACAGTAGCCCCGCTAAATAGCCGAGTGCCTAATGTAAAACTTTATTGTCAAACTTATTATAGATTTTCCAAAAAAAACACATTTTCTCGCATAAATAACTATAAAAGTTAAATAAAATAAACAAACAACACTTTTACAAATATTAAATCGAAAATCTATTTTTGGACCATTTTGCCTTCATATGAAGATAAAACGGCACCATAATGAAGACAAAAAAGACCAATGTACAAAAAATCAATTAAAGGCACTTATCACATATTATGAAAACAACTTCATTATCCTCGTCTTTAACACTACTGCAAAAATGTGCCCATTGGTTACACTTAGTGAACTTCTGTGGAATTGGAGTACAAATTATGACAATACAAACACTCCACGTCACACGTGAATATCATCTTCGGAAGAATAGTCGTCTTTTTCTATAATTTTGCGGGTATTTTTCTTCTTATTAATTTTCTTTCCTTTTCTTTCTTCCTTCTCTACAGCATCATCGAAACAAACTTTTCGTTTTACTTGGTTGGAATTTGCTTGTGAGGTGTCCAATTCTGTACGATAAAGTGATAATGTAATAATAGCAGTTTTGCTTCTATTTTTTTTAACTATTTTGGCCTGTACCGTTTTTGGTAGAAGAATAACTTTTAATATGGAGTCGCGAAAGCGGTTCGTTGTAGGAATCGGTATCTTTATTATGTAGATCCTTAAAATAGCTTATCTACTTGAGGTAGTGACTAAGAGCAACATGGCTTCTTAAATGCTTTGCCAACTAGTTTCGCAATTTAAAATTAAGTAAATATTCTTCCCAGGTTTGTTCTTAGCCATTGCTTTGCAACCTTTGTGTAGTATGCAGATAATGGTTTCATGAACCCAATATCAAGAAACCGAAGAGGATGGGTGCAGGGTGGCGTAAATAAAATTATATGCACACCATGTTCACTCACTAAGTTTATTACATTCAAATTATTAGTGTGAATTGCGTAACCGTTTGGCAAGAGCAACACTAAGCTGTCTATGGATGCTCTGGAAAACGTAATACATTTCTTAAACCAAACAAAATATCTTCCGGAATCTAGCCACTCTAATCACACTCCTCAAAAGATCCTTTAGAGTCATTGTTCAATAATTCCGGCTTTAACCGATTACGTGGGAATACAAAGAGTGGTGGCATATATAACCCATCAGCAGTGATACAGAAAACAATAGTTACTAGCCGGTCTCGTTCTGCTGATGTTAGAAAACCGACCTGTTTTTCTCTTTTTGCACTGACCATTTTCGGCAAACTCTTGGGTACAGTGGTCATGACCATTTCGTGGACATTGAATATTTTATCGGAGGTTAATTTGTATTTGTCCACAATTTCTGTTAATAAAGAAAAAATGTGCTAACTGAGACCCGATTAAATTCTCGAAATCTTGCGACCGAAGAGGTATACGTAGGTTAAGATCACGATTCCGGTTTATAAAGTTTTCAAGCCAATATCTTCCAGTTATCTTTGTGTCGAGGTTAAAATTGTGTTAGCTGTTATTTTTTTCAGCCAGGTCGTATGCCAAAGGTCTCAAATTCTCTGTCGTCAAGACAAAAAACCGAGGTTGCATATTTTTAAAATAGACTTCTTTCTCCTGTTTTTTATTAAAAGTTGGAGTAACCTCCTCATCTTATTGACTGCTGCTTCATCAATATTTTAATTTTTTGTTGCATAAATAAATATGTAGTCGCCATTTTAATGTTGTTTTTGGGACTTTTGAACATCCAGCAGCCTTTTTGAGCGCCACTCTAGTAGAAACCATTTAAATCACTTGTTTGATAGATTCTTCCGACCATTTCTGCCTGTATGACCTTCTTTTGTAGTTACTTACCATCTGGAAAAATAAACAAAAACATATTAAAAGAGTAAAGGTAATTTTTAGTCGAAGAAAAAAAAAAGATTTAAAGGTTACATCAAAAACTATATACGACGACTGTTTGGTATTTTGAATGCTAAAATACTACACATGCAACGCATAATAGCAGTTACTGATAAAAATAAACAAAATAAAAGCATTGCTTTCACAACTATATCGAATTTTATATCAATTTATACTAAAAATAACATACCTTGTAGCCAAACCACACGTCACCATCCACTTATTTAACTATCTTACCGAGAGATGGCGCAAATGGTAATAAATATATTATTGGACCGTTTTGCCTTCAGGTTTTTTGAGGTTTGTTTCGCAATCATGGTAATCCCTGTACCACAACTATAATACAATACTATGGTATTGTTACTTATTAACAACAAAATTCAATCAATTAGATTGGTGGGAACCAGGGTTACGTTACATATGAATTATATTCACTACATAAATATGTAGAAATAATTGTAACAAAAATATGAAAAAGAAACCGTCCATTATCCTCGATGATTGAGGAATACCAAATTTGTTAATCCTTTCTCTTCTATTTTTTTTACTTAGACTTCCCACTTTATATGATTTTTTACTAATTTTTGGATTTTTTCATAGAAGCTTTACCTTTAAAATTATTTAGGATGGTTGATTTTTATTGAAATTCCCTGTGTAAAGTTACCATTCAAAGTTGAATCTGCTACGTTAAAAATTTAAAGCAATACTTTTTCAACGAATTAAAAACAAAAACTGTAATTTACTTAAGTTAGAAACTAAGTTCTGTCATCATATAAAAATGTTCCAAGTTACTGTTGATGCCAATTTCATCATAAATTAAAAATAGATCGACTTGTTTTAAAAATATAAGTCTGTATTTAGAACTTTTATAACTGGTTCAAATATAAAATAGAACTGAAATTAAAAATCAAAAAAGTATAAAATATAACTCACTTCCTAAGGGTCAAGTCTTGAAACTCTTCCTCGTATTCATTAAATGACCCTTGACGCAAATTGATATTTCCATAATTATCAAAATATTTCGTATCTCCTTGACTTTGTACTTGTGGTATAAAAGGTGGTCTCACTTTCTTTTGAAAAATATTGTCAATGTCTAGACCTCTAAACCATTCATGTGACTTTATATCTTTCGAACCTGCCTTCATAACTCCATATCTAAAATTAAAAATAACATTTTGTGTCTTATTTATTTTACGTTAGTTTATGGCTATATACAGGGTAATGCACCAAAAACGAAACAGATTAAATACCTTGAAGGAGATTTAAAAATCTATTTCTATTCCAAGGGGGACGAATACTTTTTAGACGAAGAGCCAGTTACAAAACAGTAAAAGAGTTTTATGAAGGTTCATATTGGAATAATATTTCGTATTTAGTGTGAATGTAAATATTTTAGAGCTAGCATTGGTCAAAAATTAAAACATCAAAAAACTATTTTGTCACGGTTCAAATTTTTACTATTTATAATTTTTACGTGAATAAATATATAAAATAGTTAGACCGCACAATAACGGAACCAGTCGCATCAGTCGATACTTTTTTATCTATTAGAAAAGCTTCCAAAATTATTAAAAAATAAATTGTCCCTAATTGAACAGACATATTGTAGCGACGCGAATGGTCTAAATTCTAGCAAGAGCTGCTATTTACCAGTTGTTTGGGCGCCTTTGTTAAAAAAACGAAAAAAAGGTTAATTAAAATCAAATCACTGATTTACAACTATCTTTTAAATTTATTTTTAATGAAATTGAATTATTAAAATATATTTATTTCATAAAACCATTCATCGTCCACAATAATTATAATTGTCTCAGGGATAGGTCCGACTCTGTGGTTGCAGAGATTTGTTTGTTTCACGCCAGAGTGCGATGCAATTAGGCATTCCAACGACCTGTCAAACAATAGGTTCCAGTGGGAAATTCTTGTATATCTAAGGGGGTAGCGACATAGTCTTGCAGCTTAGACGCTATTTTTATTCAAAGTAGTAGTTGCCAAGCCTGCCAATTTATGAAGAAATGTATAGGTGGGTTTTTTAAATATTATTTTTATTTTGTTTGACATAAAATATTTAAATGTAATCCATTATTCATTATTTTACGTAAAGTAGATAGAATACACCATATGTCGCCATCCTTAGATATACCAAACCTGCCCACTGGTATCTCATTTGTTTGGAATGCCTAATACGAGCCCTTCAATGGTTACTAAGAAATCACCTGTTGTTTATATTGTGCCTATGCAGTGTTTAACCAAAAGAAAAGTGAAAATAAGTGTAGACAAGGAACATTTATTTATTAAAAAACGCATCTAGCAAATTCTGACGAAATACAAAGAACAATTAGATGTTAAAGTGTATCTGTAATTATAAATTATACACTAAGCATGGAAATTTAAGGTTATATCAGTTAAGTATATTTTTAATATATTTGTACCTGTCAACAATGGAATATTTTACAAGATTCTTATAAGCAATCATTATGTTTCAATCACTAAAGTTTGTTATAATAGTTAATTGATTCAGTATTAGTATTTAAGTTTGAAATTATTTATTTCAATTACATTTTACGTGGTAAAACAAGATGATCCTTTTTATTGAAATTAAATTTTTGTATGACATATAAATTTTTACTTGAACTGTTTTGTTCAATTAAATTTTAACAAAACCTAAATGGCTCAAATAACGATATATTTATTTGTCATTCAACTTAAATGTTAGAATTCATTATGAAAAGAAATTATTTACAGCCTAAAATTAAGATTCATTTCTTTTTTAAAATAGAACTCTTTTAAAGTTTATAGGCCTTTCATATTACTAATATTTTGCAAAATATTTCAGTTTTTTGTTACCTGAGATCTCATTTTCTATGTTTTAGCGCAAAATTACCACTTTCAGCACAGATCGAAGAATCGAATTTCTTGCCTTGAAGAAATATGTGCCTTTTCTTCTCCAAAGCACTACAGCGACATTTGTAGGGGAAGAACTAGCCTCAGCGTTATGATTTTACCACGAAAATCAACCGGAAAATGGAAATAACTAATTTTCTTCTATTATTAAGAAAATTTTTCAGAAGATTCTGACTTTTCTCTTTCTTGGATCACCCAGCACCAATTGTTCAAACATTTTCTATGGGAACCGAACCGAAAACTCCTTACATTATAGCTTTGTTCCAACACACACACAAAACCGTAATATTAGGGTCATCGTCATGCGCAGTAAATAAAAACCTATCAATAAAGCCCAAAGTCGAACGGTTTTTATTTACTGCGCATGACGATGACCGTAATATTACGGTTTTGTGAGATGTTGGAACAAAGCTTTAACTAATCAAGTCACTTTTGTCAGGTAAGTTGATGTCTTAAGGTTTGTTGCAACAACGATCTTGGAACAATACATAAACCAGTCCAAAACTTATTGTTGACAATCTGTCGATGACTAGTAATTGACAACTTGTCAAGTACTGGTCGGTGATTGGGACTCAATTCGGAACTAGATTATGTTGGAACACATTTTTTAAATTCAACAGACGCATTATTACAATAATAAACCACAAAATAAAATAAATGATCATGAACAAAAACTATGAAGACTAAACTCGATTAACAAATACAAATCAGAACTGTCAGAGACAATAGATACACATAATATAATTACAATCACGAACGGTTTGTTCCAACACAATAGCAAATCGGTTTACGTACTGTCGGGATTCTGCGCAGTCTATATTTGATGTTCCAACAAAGCTCGGACTCAAAACTGTACAAAAACCTACTGTTCCAACATACTCAAACCTAATCACAAACCAGTTTCTGTACTGTCAAATCAGTTCCTGGGTCTGAATAGGAACGAATTGTCAAGACATGCGCAAAACGAAAGTTAGCTCGTAAATAAATCAACTCTGGAAATGTCGTGATTATATTCGTTTTGATAGCATCATCGATCGTAGTATCGATCGTAATTTAGTTTTTTTTTCATTATCATTATTTATAGTATACCTATTATTTTATGAGTAATGCGTGTAGAAAGTGAAAAGTACTATTATTCTGACTTACATACAGTAGAAAAATAAAATAAGTTAATGTACTAACCAATCGTATAATCAAAATTTAAAACTTAATTACCAAATTCAAAATTTAATATCTGTTAATGTTTTTTCTACTTTTACGTTATTGATAGTGTATCCAACAACAGAAACATGTGTTCCAACACAACCAAGTTCCGAATTCAGTCTCGATCATCGACAGGTCGTGGACTAGTCAGTCGTCGACAATAAGTTGTGGACTGGTTACTGGTTTGTGTATGGTTCCAAGATTGTTGTTGGAACAAACCTGAAATGTTCAGTTTATTGCGGCTTTGCGCATTTCTTGACAATTCGTTCCTATTCAGACCCAGGAACTGATTTGACAGTACACAAATGGGTTTGTGATTATTTTGGTTGTGTTGGAACACTATGTTTTTGTACAGTTTCGAGTCTAAGGTTTGTTGGAACACAAATTCTAGACTGCGCAGAATCCCGACAGTACGCAAACTGATTTGGTTTATGTTGGAACAAACCTTTTCATAATTAAAATTGTCAGATTATATACAGGGGAAAACAAAAGTATTTTTTTTTTTTTTGGCTTTCACTAATAAAACTGTTCCTTTTATTTTTAATCACTTTTAAAATGTAAATGAGCCATTTAAATACTTATTTTACTTCTTAAAATTATTTACAAGTATTTCCAATTTAATTGTTAACCGACATGTTTCTATTTATTTATCGTTTTTCTCCTAATTATTTATTTTTATAAACTTTATTGTTTGTAAATTTCTTGTACTTTTTTGAAGAAAACTGTTTCCTGCGATTTTTTTTAACGGCTCGACTGATACTACCAGTGAAATCTGTTTTATTCGTATACAATATTCTCAAGGATTTATTTACAAGGTTGCAAATTATTGTTTTATTTGTATCTCACAAACCTGTTAAAGAAAATTGTAAGTATTACATTATTAGTAAAAAAATTTTATGTGTTAATATTTTATTCATAATTAATTATTCTCATTATGAGAGACTTATTTCGTCTTTTCTCCTGGTCAAACAAATTCATTTAACTAAACATGATGCCTATTATTTATTAATTCTTGTTACTTTGTAGTTTAATATACAAGGTGATTCATAACTTTAATTCTTTCTTAATTATACATGATTTTGAGTGAATTTTCTTTAACTTCAACTTATAGATTTAATTGAACGTTACAATATGTAACCATAAAAATCTAATTAACTTTGTCTACGGCGCGTACATCATTTGCGAGGCAATTTTATGGTAGAGACAGAAGACCATGTAAATTTATTTGCATGGTTCTCTATAGGATTTGATAAATGTTATGACATTCAGATTGGAAAAATCGCCATACATTACCGTTTTCAAAGATGATGGGTGGGGTTTTCCTCACCTGTAAGTCAAGTGGCATCAATCATCTTTAAGTCGCCCCGGAGCGCCATGGCAATTAATAATAATAGGCGTCTCTTTACCTATACGCTCACTTGACTTCATGAGTTAAAATTCACTCGAGTTGTACACTGGATGCTTTTAAAACGACTAATGGGATTTTCTATTTTTCATAAAAATATTTCGCTCATCCACCCAGGTGTGGTTTTTTCAGTAGCGACGTGTTGAAAAATAAATTCGTCTACTAAACTGTATTTCAAAACTTCAATCGACGGTCCGGTTTGAACCAAAACAAACCATTATTATCTAAACGGCCTATTTACAACTGTATTGAGTTAATTTGTTATCTTGGCTCGATTAACAATATTGATTGTTTTCCCTTCTAGGTACTTAACTAGATTATACCGAGTCCCCCAATTATTTAATATGGGCTAGCTAAATATAAATATTCTCCATAAGCTCGATAAAAAACGAAAACAAAGATATTATTTTAATATTTTGTTTGACAAGGAGTAGGGTCAATGCGCCTGTTGACGGCCAGTTAAGCTATTATCAAATTTAAAAAAATCGTGTTTTTGTTATCTATGATTATTTTCCATATTTCGGCACATAGTATGATACTTCAATATCATCTAAATCGAGATTTTACCTCACACGATGAGTTATGAAGTTGAAATAAATTATTGATTAAATTATGTAAAAAAGCGACATTTTCCCCATTTTCG